ACCATGAATGATAGGTATGTATTTAGGTTTTCTTGCATAGCTGCAGTGAGTTTGCATTTATTGGTTATGGGTGTGACATTATTTTTTATTTTTTTTTTTTATTTTTTTTTATTTTTTTTTTTTTTTTACTTGTTCAATATTTTACTAGCTTTTAACATCAGACATAGTACAAACAATAGCAATGAAAAAGTGCCGGATCGAAAATGGGTATGGAACAGAATAAATAAATAACATAAGGGGGTTTTAGAGGTTTAATTTATAAGCTAATAAAGCTCAAAATCTTTTTATATTGAATTGTCAATTTAAATATAGAATGCAATGCTACTTTTTTAAAAATATGTATTGTGCATGTTGTTTAATATTTCACGTATATGTGGGTTTTTTTTTTTCAACCACACCATGAATAATAGGTATGTATTTAGGTTTTCTTGCATAGCTGCAGTGAGTTTGCATTTATTGGTTATGGGTGTGACATTATTTTATTTTTTTTATTTTTTTTCTTGTTCAATATTTTACTGCTTTAACATCAGACATGTACAAACAATAGCAATGATATGAAATGAAGTGCCGGATCAAAAATGTGTATGGAACAGAACAATACCAAATATATTAATCAGGTAGATGATAACGATTGATCTAGTCATATGATAAAACATTATTTTATGTTGAAGGCAGCAATGCAGGAGGAGGAGGAGGAGGAGGAGGAGGAGGAGGAGGGGGAGGAGGGGGAGGAGGAGGAGGAGGAGGAGGAGGAGGAGGAAGGTCATTATGTAATCTTATGACAGTTGAGTTAATTGTTTTCTGTTTTTTTATATACATTTTTGTATTGCTTAGCACTGCATACATTACTTCATGTACAGTATTTTCTGGCGTATAAGACTACTTTTTATACTTAAAAATATACCCCAAAAATTGGGGGTCGTCTTATACGCGGGGTATAAAATGTGACCCTTGAGTTTGTTTGGGTCAGGCTGGCTGGATGTGCAGTAATGTACATACAGTATACCGCGCTGAGCCAAGCTGGCCCAAAACAAATGTCCCTATGAGAGATGAATCTGTCAGCCCGCTGGATGTGCGGTATATACAGTATACTGAGCCAAGCGGTTCAAAACGTACTGGTACGTCCCTACGGTATCAGCCCGCTGGATGTGTGTATGTACGGTAGCTGAGGCTACATACAGTATACACTGGGCCAATCACGGCGAGTGATGTATTCTACTAATGAATACAAAGCCTGCTCGATTTGGCTGAGTCAGAGAGGTGGGCTGATGATGTCACAACCTCAGCCAATCTGAGCAGGCTTTGTATTCACTAGTAGAATACATCGCTCGCCGTGATTGGCCCAGTGTATACTGTATGTAGCCGCAGCTACCGTACATACACACATCCAGCGGTCTGATTACAGTAGGGACGTACCAGTACGTTTTGAAACCGCTTGGCTCAGTATACTGTATATACCGCACATCCAGCGGGCTGACAGATTCATCTCTCATAGGGACATTTGTTTTGATCCAGCTTGGCTCAGCGCGGTATACGGTATGTACATTACTGCACATCCAGCGGGCTGTATATATACTGTATACTGTATGTAGCCGAAGCTGCCGTATTACCGCACATCCAGCGGTAACATCTGATTTGGAATTTGATCCATATGATGACTGTCTTACAAATGTATCACAAGATGTCATTCATGAACTTATGATGCCAGAGGATGAACATGAGGACTTTGAAGGATTTTAAGTACCGGTAAGTCATAACCATTTCAATTAAAAAATCAGATGATTTTAAATGGTGTCGCCTCGGAAGGGGGGTAGTCTTATACGGCGAGTATAGCCCAAAACCTATGTTTTAACTGAAAAATTAGGGGGTCGTCTTATACACCCAGTCGCCTTATACGCCGGAAAATATGGTAATTTAAAGCATATTCATGTAAAGAATATTTTAAAAAAAAAATTCTCTTTTTTTTTTTTTGTAAAATACTTTTCTCTTACTCTGTACTGTGCATGTTGTTCAATATTTAGCTTAGTGCTTTATGGGCAATTTAAAGTGTATCTAAACCCCGGAACAACAATATAATTTATTGCAGCTCACCAGTCCTTGTGTGGTCTCTGCATTAGTGTCCATGCACACATAGGCTTTAATCAGCATTTTTTGGCTGGAAAAAAACCCAGAACTAGCGAGTTTCTAGAGGAGTTTTTTTAGCAGTAGTAAAACGCGGCAAACCAGCTTTTTTGCACTTTTTTTGAGCAACATTTTTATGGTGTAAAAAACACTTAAAAATGTAAATGTTGAAAAACGCAGCTAAATGCTAATGCAAAAATGTGGAAAAAATGCATTTTTAACATGACTGCCGCATTATTATAACAACCAGTGTGCAGGGAGCCTTAGTTTTCATTTTCATTTTTTTTTACCTGGTGATCCTGTCAATAACAGGCTTCCTGTCCAAGGGTGACAACGCTGTCTCACAGCACGGTGTCTATGGAGGGCGGTGTTCTGTAGTCCGCAGAGTGAACTCAGGCAGGGCTGATAACAATGTTTGAGATTTCAGTGCAGCATTGTCAGCTTCACTACATGAATTTAGGAGTTCAATGGATTTCTGGCGGGATCCACAAGTCATTGTTTGCAGTTATGAAACAGACCGAACATTACACCATCAACTGGATATTTCAGACCTAAAATTCATTGTTAGGTTCATCTTCTTACTGCGAGGAGATATTACTACATGCTGACAATCATTCCATTAACAATGCATTGACTTTAGTGTGCTTTACAAGATCCAACTGCCAACCAATAAGGGGTGACGTACTTAAGGCAAATAGACTGAGCACTTTGCAATTGCAGTTTCTCCAGAGCTCAGTAAATGAGGTAAAGCTTCACCTTGCAAGAAAATATCCAATCACATGCAAGGAGAATTAAAAACAACACGTTTGCTCGCACATGATTGGATGATGGAAGTCAGCATAGCGTCTGCCCATTCAGTAAGCTCTGGAACAACTGCTCTTGCAGAATGCAACTGAAGTTTGCAAAGTGCTCCGCTTATTTGCCTTTAGTAAATCAACCCCATAGTGTGATCTCTCAGCAGCACCGAAAAACCTATATAGGGAGAAATACCTAGGCTTCCATCGCTGACCTCCTTTCTGAAAATACTAACTGCCTGGCTGGTATGCTTTTCCAATGTCCAGTCGGTATGTCGTTCAGGAGTTCTGACTTTCTAAGCTGCATAAATATTCCGGGTTCAATATCTCATGAAGCAAGTCAGAGTCAGCCAGGCAATCAGCATTTTCAGGGGAGACAACTGCATTAATACTTTATGTTTCTCAGTATACAGTAGGTTCCCTGTAATCCCTTACCTACCAGGGCACTTATACCCCCTTCCTGCCCAGGCCAATTTCCAGCTTTCAGCGCTGTTGCACTTTGAATGACAATTGCGCGGTCATGCAACACTGTACCCATATGAAATTTTTATCATTTTTTGAGACAGATAGAGCTTTATTTTGGTGGTATTTAATGCACCTCGGGGTTTTTTACTTTTTGCTAAACAAACCAAAAACAACTGAAAATTTTGAAAAAAACGTTTTTTCTTAGTTTTTGTTTTAAAATTTTGTAAATAAGTGATTTTTCAATGAGTGCTGCTATTGCATGATGGGCACTGATAGATGGCACTGATGGGCACTGCTGAGGAGATCACTGACAGGTGGCACTGATGGGCACTGATGAGGAGGCACTGATGAGGAGGCACTGATAGGTGGCACTGATGGGGCATTGACAGGCAGGACTGACTGCCACTGTTAGGCGGCACTGACTGGCACTGATAGGTGGCACTGATTGGCAGCACTGATAGGTGGCACTGACTGGCATTGATAGGTGGCACTGAAAGGCAGCTCTAATGGGCACTGATATGTGGCATTGATGTGGCGCTGATGAGCACTGACAGTTGGCATTGATGGACACTGACAGGTGGCATTGATTGACACTGGGGGCTACACTGATCATCAGTGCCGCTGATGATCAGTGTACATGTCCCCTCCGAGGAATGCCGATTATCGGCTCTCCTCTCCTCTGTCAGCGTGACAGCTCATGAGGAGAGAAATGCTGATAACCGGCGGCACGGCCCATATTTATTTGAAATATATTTTAAAAATATGGACCCAAGCTAAATTGCCTTATATGACCGATGCTGCAATTTTGTCCATATTCAATATATTAAAAAAAAAATGTATATATATACACACACTGCATTTTGAAATGAGTTTTTATTACAAAATTTATGAAAAATATTTTTAAACATGCATTTCAAATATACTCTATGTCTCTAACAATACAAATTTAAAAAACCAAATCTACATTTTGGAATGCATTCATACAAATATATGTAAAAATAAATGTTAAGGGTGGCACTTTTTTATATGGAAAACAATATATTGAAGAATATATTTTTAAAAAATATATTTTTAAAAAATTTGCCATATATTCGAAATGCTTCGGATTTTTTTTAACATATAAAAAATATTTTTTAAAATATGTTTATATATATTTGCAAATGCATTCCAAAAATGTAGATTTTGTTTTTAAAACATACAATAATTTTATTTATTTTTAAAAATACATTCAAAATATACTTTATGTCTTTATGTGGGACAAAAGACCAGGATTTTGGAATGCATACTTATGTATGAAAAAATATCAAAAGGAACAGAGACTTTTTTTTTTTTTAATATCTGAAGACCTTTTTTTTTTTCGGTTAATTTTTTTGGATAAAAAAGAATATTTTTCAAATTGTATTCATCAGAGTTATATATTAACAGGTATTAGGAAATTCATTGAAATGTTTGGTGTATTATATATAATATTTTGTCTTTGTGTAGAAATGTACCACATCCTATGGAAAACACAACATCTCCTCTAGATGTGCACATTTTGCCATTTTTCATGAAAACTGACCACCAATTGTTCATCTTTAGCACTGTCTGCTTTTCCTTCATCTATATAATTGGAAGCTGATGAACACAGTTATCATTGCAGTGATATGTTTGGACCTCCATTTGCACACCCCGATGTATTTATTTCTCTGCAACTTGTCTGTGGTTGATATGTGTTATACAACTGTCACCATTCCAAAACTCCTCTACATCTTACTATCTGGAAATAATACAATGCCATTTACACAATGCCTTATCCAGATGTATTTTATGTTTTCAGCGGACAGTGCTGAGGTCACCATTCTGTTTATAATGGCGTATGACCGATATGTTGCAATTTGTCACCCTTTACACTATCATCAGATACTTAGTAAGAAAATCTGTATATTACTTATATTAGTCACCTGGATTGGTGGGAATATAAATTCATCTTTTTTACAAGTTCAATCTTAAAAATAATTTTCTGTTCCTCTGTTACCATTCACCAGTTCTTCTGTGATGCTAAAGCTCTCATCAACATTGCCTGCGGTGGTACTGAAATGTTTTATATCATCTTATATGCAGAGTATTTAGTATTTGGGTTCTGTCCAGTTATGTGCAGCTTGCTGTCCTATGTACAGATTATCAGGGTCATACAACGTATTACATCTAAGGATGGCCAAAGAAAAGCCTTCTCCACCTGTTCATCCCACCTCATTGTTATGGCCATCTTTTATGGATCTGGTATATCTGTATACATGATACCACCATCAGACCGCTATGCCATACTTGAACAGATCTTAACCATGTTCTACAGCACAGTGGTCCCCGTGTTGAACCCTCTCATATACAGTCTACGAAACAAAGAAATGAATAGTTCTTTGCGAAAACTAGTGTCGTAACACTCACCAGCAGGGATGAGGTTTGGGTTTTCCACCACCATGGACTTGCATCAAATTCTGCATTGTCAACATTTAAGGGCCTGAAATATTTCTATGAGAATTCACCAAACCCAATTCATTGTCACCAGAAAAGACTGCCTTGTCTTTGAACATAGGTCGTTTGATTTAGAAGAACCAGTAACAGGGATTTCAGATAGGCCAGCCCCCTCACTATAAAACGACATTTCCACCATGTATGAGAATGTGATTTAGCTGTGATGGGGAAACACATAGGGAGAGTCACTGATAGGGAGCTTTGATTGGTGTAAGGTTTGTAGGCACTGGCAGGTCTGGTAAAGAAGGGCTCGGGGCTCACATTCCCTCAGCCATCGTTCCCGTCCCAGGAAGCGGTAATCTGACAGTTCTGGCTGCGACAAACATCAGTGGCCTCATCCCACAGGAACCGGTAATCTGACAGTTCTGGCTTCTGACAGTACATCAGTGGCCTCCTGCTCATCCTCCTTGTCCTCTCCTCTGGGCATATTATGGCTCAGAGAATTTGTTTTTTAATCTTGGAGTTGATGCAGCTGTCCAATCAGGAATGGAGGGCTCAGGATGACAAAAGACTGCCAGCACTTGTGACAGACGTGTGTACATCGGGAAAATCTGAGTGCATTGGATTCTTTTATGTTTGCTCGGAATAAAGAAAGGTTTCATGCTAGGGAACCACTTCCTCTGATTCTTTTTTTCTTTGGATTAGATTCACATTGTCTATACAAACCTTGTTGGCAATCAGGGGAAAGCAGCCGTTATCCTGGCTTATCCATTGGAGTTTCCCAATAGTGGATGGACTGGAGTCTCATGAATGCAGGAGTGGAATTTTTAATTATGGTTTTACCTTATTTCATTCTTACTTACATTTCAGTGCATCCTCTTTTACAACCTGTCCCTGTTCACATGCACTAAAGCGATAACACGGCATATTGTCTTATTGTTGTTGGTTGCAATTGTGTTCTCACGTGAATTATTTTTAATCAGACCTTTCGTGAAAATGAAAGATCTACCCTATTTAAAGTCCCCTACCCCCCCCCCCCAAAAGAGGGAAGGAGTGGTGATGGGAGATACCAGCGCTATCATTTCACCACCAAAAAGGCATCCGAGTTAGAGGTCCAAAGAAAAATTAGATGGAATGTCTTCACACATCTTCCACCAAAAAGAATCCCAGTCTTGAGAGCATATGAACAAAGTCCAGTGGAACCCGGTGTTTCTGACTTTCTTCTCGGTGCTCCAGAGTGTTGCTGGGAGGCTTTCCAGGGTAGGGTCTCCAGAGCAGGGTTTTTTCTTGCTTCCAGAGGGCTGGGATACAAGTCCTAGCTTCAATAATCAGATGAACCAACATAGTTTTAAACAATCTGTTTTTATTTATTGGGTACTTCCCACAATAAATGTTTGTTTTTATTCACACCTTAGTCTTTTCGTATAATTTTGTTTGTAAATTTATGAATGGTATAGACACAGCAGTACATAAGTGCTCTATTATATGAAACACTTCTGGCACTTGAGGGTTCATTGAAATCAAAGATATATGGGAGAACCCCACAAGTCCCTGTGTCTATAGTTCTGAGGAAGAGAAAAGTTTTTTCCTTGAAACAGGTTGATTGACAGCAGACCCAACTACAACAATCTGCATGCGCATGCACAAATGTGATGAAATTCATCACTGGATTTCATTCAGTAGGAAGGATCTGCAAGAACATCCCCCTCACTGGATGACATCCATCTGTAAGGTTTCAGCTGGACAACTACATAGTACAGGTACAATCATTAAGCGGTCATGATGGTTTGAATCTTGGCCTGTTCAGCAGAGACTGACCGAGGTTTGAACCGTCTATGGTCAGGTGATTATACCCACTTTAATTGTTGTACGTCTTGGGTACAACCAGCATTTTGGATTTTTCATGCGCTATTGACAGTAGCTATAGTCACTAGCAATAATCATTGTGATCTTCTGGCAGGGACGACCCCCCCACATTCCCCCATAGGCATAACACAATAGCTCCATAGGAGAGAGTCAGTGTTGATGAGGGAATGAAGCCATTTTCTTTCCTGCAACCCGTGATTTATTACAATAGATTCATGTGAAATATCCATTGGCAGATGTAGATAAACATGAGTAGAAAAAGTGTAAGTCTATGGAAACTGGCTTTATATTAATGGAGACTTTGAATGGTAAAATGAATCTTGTTTGCCATAAAATGCCAATTTAGTGGTAAATATTGTATATACTGTATCTATGTACCTCCGAACATAGTCTGCAACAGAGTCACCTCTAGATTAACAGCCCAGTTATGTGAACTGTCCAACCAGGCTTCTGATACTCCCACCAAGTCAAACTGTTCCTTAAGTTACAGAAGTTCTAGATTTTCTATTTTGTTTTCCAGACTTTTCATGTTTGGGAACATACATTTTAATTTTGTGCTAGGTGTTTAATTTAATATTACATTTTTGCTCCCCCTTGAATTACACTTTGATTCTGCGGCTCTTTTAGTGTTGTGTTTAAATAAGTCCTAGTTTAGTTTGAAGCCCATAGACTAGAAAAACTCCCAGCAGTAGTCATTTAGTAAATTATCAATGATAATTAATTTCAATCAAACAATTAAAATATATATGAAACTATTAAAATGATCTTGATTACAAATTGTAAGTTTTTCATTCCTCAGTTCCTTGTTAATTATGTTATAGTTTACCAAGTCACTATCAAATGGATTGTTTATTCTAAAAATGAATTGTTTCAGCCTTGATGTATTATTACTAATATTTTATTATCCAATGTATTAATAAATAAAATGTGATTAATGCCTTTAGTGTAAAATGACTTGTTTTTTTTCAATTTCTTTAAGCTTAATTAGAATTATAATAAACATTTGCAGTCATTTATAATGTACACGTTTACAGTTTTCTCAGTACTTTCAGTACTCATTCTGTAAATCTTCATTTCATACATTACAATCTTGATATTGTATGACAGCAGGGGTGGAAAGAATAGTCCATTTGGAAACTCGGGCACTGCCCAGGGCCCATGGTCAGTAGGGGGCCCCATGAGATGCCCCTGGTACCTTTTTCATAGGCTTTTTTGAGTTTGGGCAAGGACACAGGGGCCCCAGTTTCTTTTAGAGATTGAATAATTGAAATGAAATGTATACCTCACTTAAGTACAAAATGATCCGGGGACAAATCTTCAATATTTCAGCTGTCTCCCATTTACTTACATAAAGCAATAATAGTCCTGTTGAAGGCAAGGTTCTAATTCATAAATGCTGATTCTTACAAGCAGTATCCATAGCAATCAATTAGAATCTATGTTGTACTTGTTTAACCTCAACATAATATATTCTGATTGGTTGCTATGATTTACTGCACTTAAAGTGGAGTTCCAGTCTTTTTTTGAACTTCAAATATTTTTTAAATGCCCCCCCAATGTGCAGTGCAAAATGGAAATTATTTTTTTTGTTTTGTTAGTTTCTAAATACCTTTATTATAGTTCTTTGGGCGGCACTTCCTGTCCCGGCCGCCAAGGCGATGACGTCATTAGGTAATTCCCATTGACTCTTGGGATATCGGCGTCATCTATCCCAGAAGTCTTTGGGAAGCCTAATAATGTAATGTGATTGTCAGGTTGCCATAGCAACAGGTGGGTACTTCTGTGACGCCGCCATTGCTACGGCAACCTGCACTAAACACAATGCGCCGAGCAGTGTCATTACTGCGCAGGATCGGGATCGGGAGGTGCATGCTGGGTAGCCAGCTGCACCAATCCGAATCCCAGAAAAAGACACAAGTGGGCTTCAGATGCCCCACCTAAATGGCCACCTGCCTGCGTCTGAGATCAGATACATTTTTAAAGATTTTAAGCTAACCAGCACGAGTACTGTTCTAACAATATTCTAATTGAAATGTAAAAGTAATAACAATCACAAGGGAATTTAAAAAAAAAATTGATTATAGGGATTGGAGCTCCGCTTTAAGGATTAGTACTAAGAACAATAATTCTTTCTTGAAAAAAACATAGATATCTCCTGTCCATCCTTTTTATTTTAAGTGTATTTCTATTCTATTTTATTCTAATATTTTCTAAAAAAAAATGTCCAGTTCTACAAATTTGTTTATCATCTATTGATGCTAATTAATTTATTTTTAATACTCTGTAAAAAAGATTAAAACGCTAGTTAAAAACTTGTGCATTTGGTAAAGACTTTACTAACATCTTAAAGTTCATCATTCTAAAAAAAATTATTTTAGTTTTGTGTTGAATTAACTAACATCTTCTTTTCATTGTTAGAGGCCCCAGTCATATTTCCCAGCAGTAGTTTCTCCCACACGGCCAAATTCTCATGTTGCTGGACTCTCAGATTCCTTGTTTATTCTACATATTGATTAGTAGCAGGTGACTGTGACATTATCTTTGCTGCCCTCAGACACTGGGAAGAAATGAACGTTCCAATGTGAACGGATCCCTAGAGACATCTATGAAAAGCAGCTCATCATTCCTCTTACTATCAGCCACATGGAACTAAAAATATACCAGTCTTGTGT